GGGTCACTTAAACTTGAAATTGATTGTCCCACTATTTGGAGGCTAGAAATCCAAAGTGAAGGTGTCAGCAGGGTTAGTTCCTTCTGGAAGTTCTGAGGGAGAATCTAATCTGTTCATGCCTCTCACCTTGTTCCATGTGGCTACTGGTAGTCCTTGGTGTTCCTGGCTTATGACAATACTTAGGTCCAGTCTCTGCATCCATATTCACATGGACTTCTCCCCTGGGTCTCTGCGTCAAATCTCTCTCTCCTTTCTAAGAACACCAGTTATTGCATGTAAGGCCTACCTGAAATCCAGGGTGATCTCATTACAAGCTCTATTTCCAAATAAGGTCACATTTACAGATACCAGGTTTAGGCCACAGACATATCTTTTTGAAAGACACAATTCAACCCAGAACAAAACCCAGTACAAGTGGTTTCCTGTTTTTCCTTTTTTTTTTTTTTTAAGATTTTATTTATTTGGCAGAGAGAGATCACAAGTAGGCAGGCAGAGAGAGAGGGGGAAGCAGGGTCCCTGCTGAGCAGAGAGCCCCGATATGGGGCTTGATCCCAGGACCCTGAGATCATGACTTGAGCGGAAGGCAGAGACTTAACCCACTGAGCCACCCAGGCGCCCCTCCTTCTGTTTTTTAACAGTTTCTTTTCCATGTGGAGCAGCTAGAACTCTTTCTGTTTCGATTTTATCCTAAGACTGCTCATGAGTTTCCTAAGCTGACAATGGACTTTAATAACAATAAACCACTTAAAAAATATAAACTTCAAATAGATGTCCTCTTATACCACTGTAATGGAACAAATATAAGGTCGATGGAAGAGTTAAATGAAATAACACAGGTTATCTCCAGGTTGTCCTTTTTTTTTTTCTGCCCCTGAAAATATTTTTATATTTTAGTTTTGAGAATTTTGTTGGTAGTGATTAAAAAGAAACACTAAAGCATAAAAAGTGAAACTGTAGTGAATTTAACAAAGTTACAGAATCGTGCAGATTTCTTATACTAACGATCCCAATTCTACATTTCCCAAATTTCATTTGAGGTGCTAACTGGAAGCAATATTGACCATTGCCTTCCCACTTCCCTCCTTAGACTGAGGTTCACCAGACCTCTCCTAAGCACATACCCACCTTCTGATCCTATTTTATGATGCAGTCGGTGCCTAAATATATAATTCAGGTTGAATTAAATCTATCAAGGAATCATAGGGGTGGGGTTGTGTGGCATGGCTCTCTTTCCTTGAACCTCCATACCAACAAGAAATGATATCCCTTCACAGATTTGTCATTATGGTCAAAGCCATACAATAAGACTGCTGAGGGTGAACATATAGAAAAAACAAAAGAGAAAGGAAAAGAAAGGCATTAACATTTTCTACTGCTTCCTCAGGTACCCAGTGTTATCTACTCCTTCACAAGATGTTCTATTTTGTTTTTGTTTAATTCTTCCATCAACCTGACATTCATTTTGCAGTTGATAGGAATGGAAACCCAGTGACATTGTTATAATTTGGCAAATATCACACTTCCCAAGAAACAGAAACCCAGACCCATCTGTATCCAATGCCTAAACCCTATCTATTTCACTATGCCATTTTGTAAATAAACTGACAATGAATAACTTTCATGGGCCATTTATTATGCAAGACTATATTAACTCATTTATGTTACCTAGTGAATGTTATCTCCATTTAATCAATAAGATAATTGAGATTTTAAAAGGTAACACCACATGTACAATTTATAGAGCTTCTAAGTGGCAAAGTTATGATTTTAATTCAGGTTTTCCAAATCCAAAATGCCCAGTTTTTCTAAAGATTGTAACCATGGATCAAATCTAAGGAGGAGATGAGGAACAGATCCCAGACAAGGTTATGGGTATGGAGGAGGCAGAGAGGAAAGGGGATCACATGTTGTGATGATAAACGAAGAAGAAAGGAGTTTCTATAGCAAGGGAATTGTCAGTGAGGTCATTGGGCAAGCCAAGGCAAGTGTCCCTTGGAATAGGCAATTTAAAAGTGCAAGGGCAGCAGAAACAAGATTGTAGCAGAAATGGAAGAGTGAGGAAGGAATGGGAGAGTATGATGAGAATCTTAGAAGGTAAAGAGAGACAGTTGGAAAGAGAAGGCCACCCAGAGTTGAAAGAGAAACTTCATTTGCTCGTCTCAGGTGGAGAAACTTAAGTACTTACAAATTGAAGTTGTTGAAATGGTGGAGAGGTTCAGAGTTAATGACATAAATGGGAAAGAGAATGACCAGTGGAGAGGTACAGAAATCTAGAGCACAATTTGAGGGGATTTGCCTTGAATCAAAGCAGGGGCACCATTTTCACTGAAGCAGGAAGAGACAATGGGCAGAACTGGAGACAGATTTGAAGCTAGCATGGGGTAGGAGTTGGGGTGGGGGTGGGGCAGGAAAGGAAGGTGAGAGCTCAGCCTTATTGGTCTCTCCAAAATCGGAGTTGAAGTCATTTGGGTGGAGAGAGGGAATCAGCAAAACTGGTAATTTAGTGACTATGATGAGAACAAAATGGAAAGAACCAGCGCACAATCCTGTCATGATTCAACTCTGTAATATATAAATGGCCTTCAGATTTAACACAGCAGATACAAATGTTAGATTTCATAGAGCATTTTAACTAAAATTCAAGAGTCTGTAAAAGCAAGGTCTATTTTAAAGTGGACGCCTATTTCCACCTGCATAGGAGCACACACCTAGGACTGGAAATAGACATTACAGAACATTTGTCTGTCAGTTTTTCACCCCCATATAATTTGCATCCCTTTTGCATCTATATTAATCATTTTTCCTGCACAATGTTATCTTGGCAGCACCTAAAAACATAAAGAATTCATACTTTTATTCAGCGCCGTGTGCCAAACCATTTCAAAATGTATTTGTGCTCTGGAGAAGCTAAATAGACTGCAAAAATGCATGATGCCAGGTTGTACATAAACAGGGGTTAGAGCATAGGAAAAATCAGACTGATCCTCTTAAGATCTTTTAGTAAATGAACACGTCCTGAGACCATCACTGTCCTATACGAGCTGTATTTCTTTCTAGAGTGGTAGTGTACATGAACAGATTCAGCTCAGGAATAATATATTAAGAAGGTTGTTCAGGAGAACAGAGAGAGGATGCTAAGGATAATATACGGTTAAAAACAACCATAATTTAAAGTAAACGTTAACCCTAAAGGCTTGACCTAGGTCTAAATAGTCGTTCACGATTCGTACTGTATTTATAATGAGCAAGGATGTTTTGTTCTTTGAGTACATTCCAATGAATTTAGCTCTGAAATGCAAAACCTATAGTCGCTCTCAAGGCTCCTCGCGCTGTCGCCTACACTGGAACTTATCTTTCTGCCTCAAGGAGATCAGAGGATGAAGTCTAGTCTGTGCATATCGGGAGAGGGAGGGGACCGTGGATCATTTTGAAACCCTCCAGCACTGAAGCACTGTACTAATCTGACACCAGCTTCTTCAATAGAAATATTTAAGCAGCAAGAAAGTATTCTATGTTTTTTGGCAAACAACAGATCAGATAGAAGAGTCTAGCAATACGGCGAGGACGTGTAATCTGACATGATTAGACAAGGCTCTTTAGTACCAGAACATTCATAATTGAGACAAAGAAAGAGTATTAATAACACTTTCCTAACACGGCAGTTAGCCATTTTATATTTCCTTTCTTTAATCTTAGTGTTTTTCAACAAATCATGGGATTTAATAGCGTGTTTTGGCAGATTAGAGGATTTATGGCCCAGATGTTTTTTGTTCTAAAAATGGATTAGGGTGTAAAGTTTGCTGGAATCCATGGAACATGTTGAGGCAAGCCGGTCATTTTATGTGTGATTAGTGCCTGCCTTCTGTCTCACAGTCCCTCCATCTGTCACAATTCACCAATGGATCTGGTTAGATTTAGCCTCATGTCACAAACAAGTCCCTTTTCTGGGCAATTTCATATTATAGATTCAGTTTATGCCATTTTATGCCCTAGTTAAAAGATAGGGAGAGTGAAAGATGATATATTAGCTTTCCTTTCAATATTTACAAAACAGTCTTTTCCCATTGGTATTCTACCCTAAAATCGTGCAGACGAACATAATAATGTCCATCAAATAAACAAGTGACCAGTGTTAAAATTAAGTTAAAAATTAGTGTTGCTCCTTACAGCTGTTATTCTTTAAAAGAAATATTTTGACTTTTTTTTTTTTTTTTAACTTTGGATTGTGGAGCTGTGGACGCAAGTTGGTCATGTAACTATCTTATTAAGAGTGTGAATTCAGTGTGACTGTAGTTTTCAGTAGCCACAATTTCTTATCATACAATTCACAGGTGCTTGGTTTCCTTCTGTGCTTGAAATTTGGCCCCTTCACTCTTACAAGTTTGTATCCATAGCAAATCACTGCTACCTGTGGTTTACTTCACCATCAGTGGATTCAGGGTGGGGGTGGGGTGGGGTCGGAGGGAGGGAATGATCTTCTTACACTCAGGCAATAATGACTTATTCCTTCTGTATCTAACAACCCTAATAGCGCTATACACAAACTCGAAGCTGACCTTTCCAGTATGATGAGAATGTCAATAACTAGAGTAATAATCATCAATACCTCTACCCTATGGCAACATTCAAATGAGCCTTACATTAAAAAAAAATAATAAAATCAAAGGTCTTATTTTTGCACTACAGAATACTCAGCGGAAAAAAATTTATTCAAAACTTATATTTTAAACTTCTTTCCAAGCATGTGGAAACAACTGTATTTGCCTTTCATATTACGTTTGCATTGCAGAGGCTTAGCACCACATTCATGTAGGACTGTATCAATCAGGCATTATCGATTACTCATTCATTCGTTTTAGATTAAAGAACCTGAGAAAGTAGTGTATGCCAGACACTAACCATTAACCACCCCCCCCAAAAAAGACGTGATTTTTGTGGTTAAAAGTTAACCTGTCCATGCATTTATACAAAACATAGCCTTTGTTCTGTCACATCTTCAGGTTATTTAAATGACCATGATGCTGTCACCAAGGCAATCCAAGAGGCTCGGCAGATGAAGGAGCAGCTTCGGCGGGAACAACAGGTGCTTGATGGGAAGGTGGCCGTTGTGAATAATTTAGGTCTCAGTAACTGCCGGACAGAAAAGGTTAGTTCATAAAATAATGGACTTCCCAAAATACTTAAATTGCCTAAATGTTTTTTTTTCCTTTGTTTTTTTATCTTCTCACCACCTCAGAAGGAAGGTTTTCCCTCCCTCCTCTCCCCGCTCACCCGGTCAGTACAGATATTTTCATGCCCTTCCTAATCAAAACCATCTGGAAATGAAAGGAGTTATAATTCTCCTCTATCCATCTCCAAACCTTATTGACAATTAATATCCCCCTTTCTGCCATCAGTTTGCATTAAAATGGAATGGCATTTGAAATATCTGAGTCCGAGTGAAAGTTTTGCTTTACAGAGATGCTTAACTTGTATTTGGGGATGAGCTGGATTTGAAAATGCTGAATCTTCTTTAATCAGCATAAGCTTGGATGATACCCATGCTCATAGTCTAAGTAACTAGGATTCCGAGCCTGTCATAATATGTTTCCAATGCAAAGCACTGTCAAGGTTTAGATGACTACACAATTGGAAATTTTGACTTTAATTACCAAACAAAATGTGCTTTTTAAAACTCGGACATGATCATTTTACCAAAGCCCGGTGAAAATGCTGAATTTTGAGATGTAACAATTTCAAACTCTTTTATCTAAGCTACATTGTATTTTACTCAGAAAAATATTGGGCCGTTGCAGAATGCTCGGAGTGATCTTGGTCCTGTTTGGTATTTTTGAATTGAAATTTTAGAATGTGACTGGGTCTTGTTTTCACAATCCCGTAGCTGAAGAGAGATACAGTAAATCAGAGGGAAAAAATGATCAGCTACTTAGCAATGATTTGAAAGTTAACCATCATGGGAAGCTTTCGAGTCAAACAGTAGTGTCCAGAAGGAGCAGATTGCTAATTGGGTAGCTTTCTGGTTTCCCGGGTTTTAGATGGAATTTGATGTGTAGCCTCTAAGAAGCTCACTATCTGCAAGTGGAGGTGCTATCTGTGTGTGATCCCGTCACAGCTCTACTTTTCCTCCGGTCCAAAGGTGGGTCCCAAGGATGGAGAAATGCCTCCAGTTCTGCTCTGTTCCTGGAGGAGAGAGCAGAGCGCGGTTAGGGAGGCATCGCTGGCAGGCACAAGGCAGAAGAAGAGCGATACTGGTGCAGCGAGGAGGGCACAAAATTTCTCTAGCTAAGCACCAGAAGGGAAGGGGAAAAGCAAAGTGACAGCTCTAAGAAGGAATGATAGCAAGCATAAAGGAATTTATATTCAAATATTTAAACATTCTTGAAAGGATGCTTGAACAGAAATTCCTTTTCTCTGCTCCCCATGTAGAAATGAGTTTAACACTCAGCCAGATGCTAATGCAAAGTGACTCAAGCTATTCCTCGCAAGCATAGCTAAATTGCCGTTATTTGTTAAGCGCATTGAATTCAGCTGTGGATACCGCAGTTGGTTGCATTCAGCAAGCATCTGTACCCTTTTTTTTAAATCCTCCAAAGCAGAGACAACTCTACCTATCTCCCCCCTTCTCCTCCCCTGTGCTGGCTGGGAATTGTCAAGTGACAACCGACCAAATCCTTTTGGACAGGAAGCCTTCATCCTGAGTTCTATATACTTGCAAAACAGGCCTTGTGGTTGGATCAGGGAACCCATTAAAAGCACTTTGATGGTATGGAAATTCATCTTCATGAAACTCCTGGGCCCCTAAGCAGCATGCTGTTTAGCTGTGGTTACAGATCACTCATTCAGATCGGAGGGCAGTAATTGTGCTGACGGCTTGTAAGGCAGTGGAAGTACATAAAATAATCCTGGGCCCTCCACCATGGCACTGTGAGTTAATCTTCTCTAATACAGATCAGCTGTTGTCCTAACACATGACTTGGAGCCGGCTCCAGTGACTCTGCGCAGCCCTCTGATTAAGTACTCGGAGTAGAGCCATCTGCATTCACTTTGCTCCCTTGCTATCCATTGTTAGCGGACTTCATTTCCGCTCCTTGTTCCCCCTCCACAATCAGACTCTATTTGACTTCTCTGATTGGCACCTTCTCTATTTGTGTTGCAAGAGGGATAGTTGCCTCTTGTTCAACATGACTGCCTTCAGTTTCCCCTTCTCTTTTCTAGCGTTGTAATTATTTTTGGAGTCATACCTGCCAAAAGCTGTTGGCCAGTTAAGATGTCTCCATTCTTAAGAAGCCTGTCTTCCCCAGATCTCGTCGCCATGCCCTTTCAATGCAGTTGAGTTACATCAACTACAGTCTTATATTTTCATGGGCTTTTCAGTGAAAATCTTAAAATATGGAAGTGAAACAGTTCCGTTATTGTAATAGCATGGCTGACTTCGGGGAAGTGTCAGTGAATCTTTTCAGCAGAAGGACCTGAATGACACCTTGATACCTGACAATGAGAGGGCGTTCTTTGAAGCCCTCTGAGCAGGCATTAACTGTGGTTGCCTTTTCCTGTTGAGCTTGGGTGCCATTTCTATAATATTAATGATTGAATCCACGTGCAACTCATGGATATGAGATAATGTCAAATTTATATCTTTTAATTAACACCTGCTACAAATCAAGGGTGGTAGGATTGTGTACTTGAGCTACTCTATTGAACAAGAAAATATGTCCCCTCCTTCATAAAGTATATGGTTTAAATCAAATTAATACTTTGACTGTTAATGATGGCATCTTTGTGTGAACCTACTGGTAGGAAGTAAATAAAGGCCTCACCCATTTTGCTTAGCCGATGAGATCCTTTCAATACCTGAGCGACCAAGGTACCTGCTTATTCTTCCACATGAAGTGACAGCGCTATGCCTATGTTGTTTTTCTCCTAATACCTACCCTTTTAATATATCTTTATGCCTACATTGTTTTTCTCCTAATACCTACCCATTTAATATATCTTTATAATTGCCCGACTTTACCCATGGCCAGAGCACAGGTAGATCAGTAGTTGGTTTGAAATTTTGCTTCCGTTTGAAAAACATAAACAGGATATCTGATAAAATTTTTTGCACTCTATTGTATCATTTGAATACCAAACGAAGGACATTTCTCTCACTAAAACAATATTCCTAAATCCAGAAAGTATGTGAAGTGGAGGGGTGGGATTGGGGATGGGGGAGTGGTGGATAAAAGAAAGAAACAGATAGAAAGGATCTGGGAGAAAGGAAAAGGGAAAAGAGAGGAAATCCAGCCTGGTGTTTCCCACTGGTCCAAGAGGTAATAGATAGCAGGACCTGAGATCCCTATGTTGGAATCCTGCCATGGAGATCTTTTTGTACACAAACCTCATACATAGTATTTTCTCCACATTTTAAATGACCAACATGGTTGTCCCAAGCAGAAAGTCTTAATTCTGAAAAGCTGTAATTGGTAGTAAAAACAATTAGAGGTGTGAAGATAGGGACAAATGTTTTCTAGTAATATACACCAAAACACATAATGAAAGTCATTTTTACTAAAACACATTTTAATTGAAGACTTCTAAAAGATTTCTCATTTTTTACTTTTCTTGGAAGTGTTTCAACATACCCAAAAAACTGTGTATGTCAGGTTTCTTGGAAACTCTGGGACACTGTGTTATTTATAATTGTCATTTCAGGTTAATTATAGCCTGATTGCATATTCGGATAATCTTATCTTCACAGATTAGTGTTGTGGATGAATAAAAAAAAATCTTCTCAGGTGGGGAGAATCAGAAAGACCCGCCATAAACTGAGTTTGTCAAAACCACCCTCTTTGCTTCACTAACACCCACGTGGCACAATCTTGACCATAGGACCAACGGCATACTCAGGTTCCGACCTTATGTATGAAGGTAGCCATAGTTAATAGGAAATCATGCAGACCTCAGTTTTTGTCCTAATACCACCAGGCGGTATTAATAGAATAGAGACCCAATGCACTTGACTGAAATGTGGTATAGACCAGGAGGATCCCTGCTTCTTTCCCTTACCCCCAGTGTAGTTATCCTAGGGGAATGACGCCTATGCTGTCGTACTTTTTTTTTTTTTTTTAAGATTTTATTTATTTATTTGACAGATAGAGATCATAAGTAGGCAGAGAGGCAGGCAGAGAGAGGGAGGAGGAAGCAGGTTCCCTGCTGAGCAGAGAGCCCGACGCGGGGCTCGATCCCAGGATGCTGGGATCATGATCTGAGCCGAAGACAGAGGCCAAACCACTGAGACACCCAGGCGCCCCTGCTGTCGTACTTTTAGGGCATGTATTTCATTACGTGTGTCAGGAAATCCTCATAATTTTTAGCACATAAGGAAGTTCTGGAGGAGGCAGTTGGTGGCATTAATTCAACAGCTCAGTGATACCAGGGTTGAAATCTCTGTGATCCTCTTAGCTTTTCCCTTAGGGTCATAAAATGTTGCTGAACATAACAACTGTGCCATGAAGGCAGGCCAGCTCAGGAAGGAGAAGCAGTTTTCTCTTTGCTATTTTCGGTCCTTTCACATAGAGATGTGTTCCTTTCCTCCTTCATTCACATAGGGGTGTTTCTTACGTTATTCACATAGAGATGTTTCACTACACCCCTCAAGAAGACTCATAAACATCTCGTTTGGGTAGAAATGGGTTGAATGCATACCGTGAAGAGAACTACTGGCCAAAGCAAGAGAAGCTGCCTGAAGTTGACCGTGAATTATATTTGGGGACTGAATTAGAGACCTTAGCTTATCCTCCTGGAGACCAAGGGACAGCTTAAGGTCAAAGAGTATATTGGCAGAGAAGAAAAGGACCAGAATGGCTATTCAGTAGGAAAAGGCCATCGTAACCCACAGCTGCATGATAAAAATGGTATCAAGGCTCTCAAATATTTTCTTCATGAAACTGGTTTGTTTTGATTGTGTTAGATTTGTTGCCATCTATCTAACTACTTTCGTTCTTGCACTGCTACGTGTTCAGGGCCTTATACCTTGTCTGGAGTTCTCAGAGAAGTAAAGAGCACATAAGCATGCACACACACACACACACACACACATACACCCCAGCCTTGCTTGGCTGACAGATTAAATCAATGAGTGTGTGTTCTTGCACGTGTGTCTAC